TTTTTAAAGTTTGAGGGTCAACAGCCTTTATGGCTTGTCAAGTTATTGATCGGACACAATTTTTTACCTACAAGGTCAAATATGACCTTGACCCATTGACCCAAAATCATTAGGGGTTCATACTACTAGCAAAGTACCAATGCACCTATGAAGTTTGAGGGCTAAACAGCCAATGATTTGTCAGTTATTGATCGGAAAAAGTTTGACCTACAATTGACCAACAAAATAATAAGGGTCATCAACTAGTCATGAGGCAATCATCAGTTTCTAGCATAAGCGTTTTTTAGTTATAAACCAGAAACCGTTTTTACTTACAATGTAAATTATTGACCTTGACCTTTGACCCCTTTGACGCCAAAATCAACCAGGGGTCCATTCCCTTGTCACGAACAAATCATCATATTCCTTGTTTGAAGTACCTATGCCTATTGGTTTTTTAGTTATTGATACAGAAAGACGATTTTACCTAAATATCAATGTGATTTGCCCACGTTGACTTGAAAAATCAATCGGAAGTCATATACTGGTCATGAACAATCGTCATACCAGAGTTTGAAGTTCCTTGTGCCTAAGTAAGTTATTGATCCGGAAACCGTTTTTAACGCTACAAGGTCAATGTGACCTTGACCTTTGACCCCGAAAAAAAAGGGGTCCATCTACTGGTCCCATGAAACCCAATCCATCAATCTAATAGTTTTGGGAGGTCTTATGCCCATAAACAGTTCCTTTTTAGTTGATTGATCAGAAAAAATTTTTTTCCTTTCAAGGGTCAAAGTGCCCTTTGACCCAAAAATTAAAGGGCCCCAATCTTTGGTAAATTGGAAAATTTATAAATACCCCCGTTCAAAAGTTTCCCCAAAATTTTTTAAAATTATTGTTGGGAAAATTTTTTAAACCTTAAAGGTCAATGAAACCCTTGACCTTTGCCCCAAAAAATTAAAATAGGGTCATTCTTACTGGTCATGAAAACTCAATATACCAGTTTAAACGATCAAATAAGAAAAGTAAAAATTTAAAGAATTTTTAATTTTTTTTTTTTTTTTTTTCTGAAAGGAGGGGGAAAAAAAAATTAATTGAAACAAATAAGTTTGTACATTTTTTTTTTTAAAAACAGTAAACCCCACTCATGCTTTTCCAAAAACAAGAAAACAAATACATTTTATTTAATTTTAAAAAGGTAAAAATTGTATTACATTAATAAAAAAACCCAGTGTTCTTTTAATTTATGTAAAAAGATCAATTTATTTTATATTGTTAACATTTCTCAAAACCTGAAAATTGAAATTTGGCCGGGCCTTTTTTTTAAAAAAAAAAATTAATTAATCTATTTTTAATTAAAAAAAACATTTTTTTTTTTTAACTTTTATTTTCACTAAAATTAAAAAGCGAAAAGTTTTATTTTTTTTTTGTTGGCATGATAAAAAAAAATTAATCTTTAGTCAATAAAGGGCTGAAAGAAAATGTGTATTGCAAAAATTTAAAAAATTTCCCATATGGGTTTTTCTCCAAAAATTTATCAATTAAATCAATTAATAAAATTTAAAAATTTAAAAGACACATTTTTAAAAACAAAGTTAAAATTAAATATAATTAATCCCAAAAATTTAACGGGTTTAATTGTTGGTTTTAAAAAAATCTTCCCTTATGAAAAATTAAACAGTTTTTATCTTTTTAAATTTATTCCCCAAATTCCCTTTCATTAAAAAAAAATTATTTTTAAAAACAAAAAATTTTAAAAAATAAAAGAGAATAAAATTGGGGAAAAATTTAAAAATTAAATAAGTGTTTCCCCAGAAAAGTAATATTTTCAAAAAAATTTTGTTTTCTTTCCTAGATCTTTTAAATTTTATATTCTTTTTAAAGTAAAAACCCCCCGTTTCATGCAAAATTATCATGAATTATTTTATGTCATTTTTAAAGGTAAAATTTAAAATTAAACAAGGAATTTTAAATTATTTTATTGCACACGACATTCAAAAAAGTGGGAAATTGATAAAAATAACAAAAATTTGGGGTCTTAAATTGCAAATATCATTTAAATCATTTCTTGAATCTTTCTACTTTTCTTAGGGTCTTAGGAAATTATTCTCAAGTTTGATTTTTTTATAAAGAATAATTTGGGGGGGGCTCATCTGAAGGTGTGCAGCTTTAAATATATATATGTATACAATTTACCTTAAAAATATTCCACATTGAACTTATCTTAACTGAATATATAGCAATTGCTTAAGCATAAAATATGAACAATATAGATTTGTTTATCATGTGCATGTAAATAGATGGTTTACAAATGTACTTGATAGATTTAAATCTATATTCTAAGTAACAAACAAACATGTTTAACTGCCAAGTGTTCATAAGACATAAAAATAACTAAACATGGGCATAAAACATTAACAATCATATACCTAGCAAACAAATTATTTAACAATTGTCATTGTAATTATTTTTTTTTCTTGCATACTATATACATGTAGATGAATTTACTCCACATATACATTTAAAGTTTAAAGGCACATTACACCTAAGAAATGAATAGACTTTTATTTTTGTAAAAAAAAATATGTGTTTTGTTATGTTGTAATAATAGATTTACAACATGTGATATTCTTATCACCTGACAACTGACACAAAATGAATTTAAACAGAAAATATGGAATGGTATAAACACAAATATAAAATTCTACTTTGACTAAAATATAAAATACTTATCCACCATAACTGTACTATTTGTGCAGAAAAATGCAAATATATGGGCAAATGGGAAAAATTTGAACACCCCCAAAAAATAAAACCTTTGAAAAATAAAAAGTGATTGCATTTTATGGCTTTATGGACCTTTAAATTTCAAACATGTTCACCCTTTTAAAAAATAATGTATAGTTACATGTAACAAGACGTTCTTTATTATTGTTATCAAGTACATGTAAATTGTATGTTTACAAATAACTAGAATTACAAAATCTATATTCCAAGTCAAAAACAAACATGTTTGATGCATGTGTTCAGAAGACATAACATATCTAGGCATAAAATGCACATAAACATTCATATATCTAGTAAAAACAATTAATAAACAATCTTCATGTAATTATATGTTTACATACTTATACTAGATGAATTTATTTAAACATTAAAATTTTTAAGTTTAAAGGAAATTTTACACCTCCGGAATAAAATAATTTTTTTTTTTTGGGAAAAAAGAGCAAATATTTTTATTAAAATGTTGTAAAAAAAATTTACAACATTTTGATATCTTTTTCACCCTACAAACTGACACAAAATAAAAAATTTATGTTTGGGTGTAAAAAAAAATGAAAACCCAAAATGGTTTATTTAAACATCCATATAAAATTTACTTTTTTTATCATAATTTGTACTAGTTCCCAAAAAATGAAAAGGAAATTGAATAGGCTCATATTTTGGCCAATAAAAAACTTTTTGGACAAAAAATAAAGGGGGTTTTTAAAAAAAAAAAAAAGTAAAATTGAATTTTAAGGTTTTAATTCGCCTTGGTTAAAAAAAACGGAATAATTTTTTAAAAAATTTATTGTATTGTTCATTCACAAAAACATTATTTTTAAAAAATTTAAAAATGATCTTATTTTCAAAAAAAGTTTTGAAATTGTTTTGTAATTTTTACAAAATTTTCTTTTATTAACTTTAAATAATATTTCTACATATGTACCTATAAAATTCAATCAAAAAATTTTCCATGAAAAAACGGGACCCAAACATATGTTTATATAAAACTTTGGGGTTATATATTTACTAAAGAAAGCAAAAAGCATTAAGGCAATCAAAATGTTAAGAGTCAAAAAGCACTTGTCCCTCACACCCATGTATTTTTAATCTAAATTATCCCTTTTTCTATTGAGGATAAGTAGAAGGAATAATGAAATCATATTTACACCCTGGTGTAAAACATGTTTTGAAAAAAAATTTTTAAAACTGTCAGTAGTTACAGTATATACTATACTATAATTTCAGAAAGGAAATATTATACTTGCCTAGTTTTAAAATTATCATTCTAACATAAAAAACAAAGAGTTCACTTAAAGGAGCTCCACTGAGGTCCAAAAGCCAAACAAAAAAGAATAAAAATAGAAAGCCAAAATTGATTAATCGGGATATTAAATAAGGGAAACAAGAGCGATCAGTGATCACATGTGTCGCCTCATGATGGCCAATTTCATGTTGGGACAAGTTTTGTGACAGACGGACAGACAGATGGATAGTGCACAACTAGACTTGGTACTGATAATTCCTGTAAAGTTTGGATGAAATTGCACTAGTAGTTTATGAGGTGTAGTCCAGACAAGCTTTTGTGCATCTGGCAACACACAGAAAAAAACACCTTTTATCAAAGGACCATAACTCGGCCAAAATCATTCAACTGGAAAACCCGTGCAATATGTGCAAGGACTTCAGCTACAGATCATTCCTGTAAAGTTTCATTGAGATTGCATTAGTGGTATAAGAGAAGTAATCCGAACAAACTTTAAAAATAAAAAAAAATATTAAAGGGCCATAACTCTTACAAAAATCATTGAACCGGAAAATGCTGACAATATGCACAACTAGACTTGGTACTGATCATTCCTGTAGATTTTGGATGAAATTGCACCAGTAGTTTATGAGGAGTAGTCTGGACAAGTTTTGTGACGGACGGACAGACAGACAGACGACAGAGAAGTGATTCATATATGTCGCCACTACTCCATAGAGGTGACACAAAAATGATACTAAAGAATTATAGTCGGAATAAAATTGAAAATCGATATTAATGAAGTGTAATTTTCACGGACTTTAGCTATAAACATTTAAACACTGTCGACAGGACATTACTTACCAATGCGGTTAGTACTATTATAGCATTATCTCTATTCATTGAATAGCCGAGCTAAAATGATTACTAGTATTTTGGAAAATCAAAGTGAGCAAATAATCTGAAATTTTGCATACAATTTTTTTACATGAAAAGTAATATATCTTCTTCAAATAGTATGAAACCTCAACAACATAACTCCCGTCCTATCATGTCAAGAAATGAAGAAAATATTATCCTCAGTGGAGACCCTTTAACGATACTGTTTGAATAATACTGACTAACATTATTAACTTGTACACATATATGGTTTTCCATAATTACAATTTGTAAATTTTTACAATCTTTACAATATAAAACAATCAAAGAAGGAATCTCTAAAATATAACATGTAAATGGTCCTCATCTCAATAAAACAATTTACTTGTCATATATATCATATAACAGGTATTTATATATACCATTCCATTGTCCTATATATCATATAACTGGTGTTAATATAAATAATTCCATTGTCTAAATATTGTATAACAGGAATTTACATATCACATTCCTTTGCTTTATATAACATATAACTGGTATTCATTTATACCATTCCATTTTCCTTTATATCTTATAACTGGTATGGATATATACCATTTCCTTTGCATATTTAACATATAATATACATATATGGTATTTTTATATACCAATCATTTGTCCTATATATCATATAACTGGTATTCATATATACCATTCCATTGGCCTAAATGTCAAATAACTAATATTCATATAAACCATTCCCTTGTCCTATATATCATATAACTTGTATTTACCATTCTCTTGACATATTTATCATATAACTGGTATTTGCATATACCATTCCTTTATCCTATTATATATTATATAACTGGTATTTGAATGTTATATTAATCTTTTACTGTTTCTGACCTTGTACATTAAACATCTGTTTTAAGATATTTCCATTAATTAAATTTACTTATTCATTAATTTATTTACTTGCTAATATATTTATGTATTTATTTATTTATAATTAGAACCTATTACTTTTTCAAATCATACTTTTCACAAACTATCCCTGATCTTTAAAAAAACAGTTACCTTAATTTTCTTTATATTTCACTGCATTTCTTTCAATTATTTATTTAAATACACATTTGAATATTACTTTCATCAATTTCAATATTACTACAATGATCAGAAATTGATATTAAATGAACTGTTTTTGATGATTGTTATTTATCATATTGTATTACATTCATTATTTAACATATCAATGTGCAACTTTAGTATTATTATTATTTTTTTTTTGCTGATAATGTTTATTTTATTAATTATTTCTCTATCGTGAAATAATATAGATTAAGCACTATGTTAACTGCATGTTAAACATTCAGATCATTTTCTTTTTTGTCAAAAATGAAAAAAGCAAACGTATCATCTCTTTTACAATGCAATTATTATAACTAAGTTTTAACACTATGTTAACTGCATACATCCATGCTTTATCCTGTTTTTGTTGAAAATTCAAACCATTCAGCATCATCACATTTAACATAAAATAACTGATCCTTATCCTTTACATACTGTACAGCATCATCTTCCTTCCCAACTTCAAATTCTTGTGATGTCATTGTAAACATATCATCATTAAACTCCTCACCATCTCCTGTTATATCACAGAACCCTGCATTCACATCTACAGTATGAGGAATGTGAGGAAGACTATCAACAAACTTCTGCCATGTTGTCAAACTCATTGTGACTTTATTAAACCTTATGTACTTTAAACCCTTCATCTCTAAAGGCGACTGTATTATAGTGTCAGTTAACCTACAATACTCTAACGTAAGCTTACTGAGATTGTGTAACAATGGTAATACTGTGACTAGTCTTTTTGTTATGATGGTATGATATAATTGAGATTTATTGCCATATTCTCCATACAATGTTAGTTTTTTCAATTTGCAAGATTTTCTAATACTATCAAATATTTTCTCAAAATTACTGTCTTGCAAATGCCCAAATTTAAATATTTCAAAGTTTGTTGTATCAGCATCTATCACACTAACAGCATCATTCAAATTAAGGTACTGTAGTTCTTGATGTTTTGATAAATTTACATCATGTTGCTTCATACACTCACATTTTACATTATAAAGATGTATTTGTTTAAGCTTACTAGTTCTCTCAAGAAAATTACAAAATAAAGTAGTTTCATCATGACTCATTGTTATCTCAGTCATACTTATTGCTACAAGATTAATCATACTAGGTAGGTTACTAACAACTGTTTTACACATTGGGTTATACTTATCAGTGTGATATTCACTACCAAGAGACAGAGATTTTAATGTTAAAGTATTTTCTGTAATTGTCTTAGACACACAATTATTAACCTCATCAATCATTTGTTCATTACTCTGTATACTATCACTTTGTGTTCTAGATAACATTGAACAATCGTATGTATATTTCATTTCAAATTTTTCAAGATGATTAAACAATTGAACTCTTTTTGTAAATTTAACATTTATTGTGTTGTAAAAATCTACTTTAATAGACTGGACAAAGTCAGAAGCAATTTGTTTCTGATCAATACCTGTACAAACAATATCACAATCCTCACTATTATTAATGACCAAATCTCTAATATAAAATACAGTTTTATTTCCTACACTACATGCTGCATTTAATTCTTCCATTGAATCAAACATAAGCCTTTGAATATCAGTTATACAACTATGATCCCTATAAATGTTACTACTTATTGTTCTTCTGTATTCCTGAACACAAGAGTCTTCTGACACAGTATCATATATGTATTTTGAAACATGTGTTGCTAATCTAGGTTCAAGACCAGATAGCATAATGATAACATTTGACTGTTCTAATATGTCATTTACTGTTGAACATTTCTGAAAAACCTCAGTAATAAACTTTTGGGCTAATTTAACATTAATTGTACTACCTGGTGAACTTATTTTTGTATTAAAATTGATACCAATATTCACTGCAGCCAGGAATTCTTGCATTGATTTGTGAATGAAAGAGAACAATGAGCTTTTAGGTTTAGACACAGATAAGGAAGGACATTTATCTTCTGTCAAAATCCCCAGTTTCAGACATGTTTCTCGCATTTTATGTGAGATTTGTAAATCATTGAACACATATTTGTCAAATGTTAAGGACTTATCCTTCGGATAATTGAACAGTGTCTCATAAGCCAAGTGTGACACACAGTATATAAAATGACTATTTAATCTACATATATGTACATCTGTTAAATCCTTAGGGAGTACAACACTCTGAGAACTTTCCATACATTCTACATTAGTTCCTAAAGTTTTATTGATATTCCAGGTGAAATAAAGTTCTAACATACCAGTATAAATAGCACACCTTGAGGTTTTATCAAGTTTACCATCACACCATAGACACACCAATTGCTGCAGCATAATTGGTACCTGTTTCAATCCAACCAGAGACTGTGCATTAAGCTTTTTTTCACACTCACTAGGATCTAATGATTCGTTCAATGCTGTTATTGTTTTCTTGATCATATCTATTTCATGTGTTTCATCAAACCCTTTTAATTTCAATAATTGATGAATCTCTCTATTACTAACTTTCAAACTGTGAATTTTCCATGGCCGTGATGTAGTAACAATTGTGTATTTCATTGTAAAGTCACGTTCAGGTAGGCCTGCCTGGAACTCATTGCTAGTCTCACTGTCAAAAGACCATTCATCTAAACCATCAAGCAAAATAATAACCTTTTCAGAATCATTTTCCATAAGTTTTCTTAACATTTTTATCTTATTATATCGCATTTCAAGCATTTCTTGGATATTTAGCCTTTTTATGTTATGTCTAAGAGAAATATAAAACATGAAATCAAATTTCTTCATTTCCTTGACTCCACCAAACTCATCATCTTCATTGTGTCCATCACTATGTGCCATACACCAACAGTTGATCAAATATTTACAGAAACTACTCTTACCAGACCCTGCATTTCCAACAACATAAATAAATTTTTGTGGTTCCCCATTCTTTGTGAAAATCTCTGATATGGACTTTATTTCTTTTTCCTCAGACTCCCCTCTATTCTTTTCTATCTTGATTGTTATAGTGGGTCTTATATAAACGTCACTAAAGTTATAATTTTCCTCATCTGGTTGCAAAGGTATTGCTGATACTTTAAGCACATCACTCTGATAATGTTCAATCAATTGAGTGCGACAACCTGGAATTTATTGAAAGCAAAACTCACAAATTATCTTAACATAAAATCAGCAAATATTACAAATAATCTAAACATAACAATATTCCCTGACAAACTAGATTTTGTAGTAAGTTTTGTTTTGTAAAAGTATTTATTAAATAAAAGATATATGATTATATTATCACATTCAGCAAGAAAATAATACAAAAACATATGATAAAATTATCACAATTAGGGCAAAATTTATCTGGTTTTAGCCTTATGATTTTATTTGAAGCATACCTGATTGAGCCTTTTCATATTCTATATTACATACCTGATATAGCTTTTTCATATTTATGTAACATACCTGATTAAGTGTTTTCATATTCTATATAACACACCTGATTTAGCCTAATGTTACTCTATTCGCCTTTTCTTTATTGTATATAACACAGCTGATCTAGCCTTTTCATATTTTATAAGATATACCTGATTTAGCCTTTTCATATTAAACAGAACATACCTGATCTATCCTTTTCATATTATGTATCATACCTGATTTAGCCTTTCCATATTCTATATAACTTTTCTGATGTAGCCTTTGGTTACACTTTGAAGCATACCTGTTTTAGCCTTTTGTCATTCTATATTTCATACCTAATTTAGCATTTTCATATTCTATATATTATCATACCTGAATTAGCCTTTTCATATTCTATGTATTAACATACCTGATTTTGCCTTTTCATATTGTTTTTAACAAAACGGATTTAGCCTTTTCTATAGAATAATATTGATTAAGCCTTTACATATTTTTTATATAATATACCAGATTAAGCTTTTCAAATTCTGTCTGGCATACCTGTTTTAGTCTTTTCATGTTCTATACAAGAGCGAGTTGAACTGGGTGATGTTCCCTGACTAGGTTTGGACACAGAAAAGTATATATTTTGTAGTTTCAGAGTTACGTTCCAGACAAAGTTCAAAATATGATAATTCCAAACAAGGCAAGGCAGAGTTACTGTTCTTTGCACTGAACTTCTACTCAATAAGATCTATTTACCAACTTGCGTGCGACACATCGTCCCAATATGGTGATGATTTCTGTGAAATAGTTGTAAAATCCTACTTCAAATAACGAAGCTATGGGCCGACCAAGATTTTGCATTAAAGATAATGATGTGACATTGACCTTCAAGGTAGCGACCCCAATGCTGCGCGCGACACGCCGTTTCAAAATGGTGATCATTTCTGTGAAATAGTTGTGAATTCCGACTTCTAATAATGAAAAAATGGACCGGACACGAGTTTGCTGCACTTTAAGGTACCGACCAAAATATTGCGCGCGACACGTCGTCTCAATATGGTGATTATTTCTGTGAAATAGATGTTAAATCCTACTTCAAATAATGAAGTTATGGGCCAAACACCATTTTGCTGCATGGTCATGCTGTGACCTTGACCTACAAGGTAGCGACCCAATGTTGCGCTCCACCTGTCATCTTTATAAAGTGATCATGTATGTGAACTTATTGTAAAATCCGTCTTCAAGTAACGAAGTAATGGCCCGGACACCATTTTGCTGCAAGGTCATGCTGTGTCCTTGAACTTCAAGTTAGCGTTTGCGCACGACACGTTGGCTAAATATGGTGATCATTTCTGTGAAATACATTGTAGTTGTAAAATCCGATTGCAAATAACGAAGTAATGGACCAGATACGATTTTGCTGCACTTCAAGGTACCGACCCAAATGTTGCGCGCGACACGTTGAATTAATATGGTGATCATTTCTGTGAAGTAGTTGTAAAATCGGACTTGAAATAACGAAGTTATTGGCCGGACACGATTTTTCTGCAAGGTCATGTTGTGATCTTGACATTCAAAATCTACCCAAATTTTGCGCGCGACAGGGCGTCTCAATATGGTGATCTTTCTGTGAAATAGTTGTAATGTCCGACTTCATTTAACGAAGTAATGGGACGGACACTAATTCTGGATGTACGTACGGACGGACTGACTGGCGGATGGACGGACGGACAACCCGGCGACTGTATGCTCCACTGAATTTTTAAGGGCACATAATAACATACCTGATCTAGCCGTTTCATATTCTATACAACATACCTGATTTAGCCTTTTTATATTCTATATAACATACCTGATTTAGCTTTTTCATATTTCATATTACATACCTGATAAGCCTTTTAATATTTCATATAACATACCTTATTAAGACTTTCAAATTCTATATAACATACCAGATTTTGCCTTTTCATATTCTATATAACACACCTTATTTATCTTTTTCATATGCTTTATAATATACCTTATTTAGCCTTTCATATTCTATATAATGTACCGAATTTATCCTTTTATATTCTATATAACAAACCTGATTTAGCCCCTACATATTCTATATAACATACTAAATTAAACCTTTTCATATTCTATAAAACCTACCATATTTTGCCTTTTTCATATTCTATAAAACCTTCCATATTTTGCCTTTTTATATGCTTCATAATATACCTTATTTTGTCTTTCATATTCTATATAACATACCGAATATATCCTTTTATATTCTATATAACATAACTGATAAATCCATTTCATATTTTATATAACATAATTATTTTAACCTTTTTCATATTCTATATAACATACCTGATATCGCCTTTACATATTCTTTATAATATACCAAATTTAGTCTTTTCATTTTATATATAACATACCTGATTTAGCCTTTTTCATATTCTATATGCATACCTTATTTAGCCTTTTCATATTCTTTATAGCATACCTGATATAGCTTTTTCATATTCTATATAACATACCTGATTTAGCCTTTTCATATTCTATATAAACATGATATAACATACCTGATTTATCCTTTTCATATTTTATATGACATACGTGATTTAGCCTTTTCATATTGAATATAACATACCTGATTTAGCTTTTCAAATTCTATATTACATACCAGATTTAGCCTGCTTCATATTTTTTATAATATACCTGATTTTGCCTTTTTCATATTTTATATGACATACCTGATTTTGCCTTTTCATATAATATACTACTCAAAATTTGCTAAGGATCACTTTTTCTACAGTGTGTTACTTTTGTGTATTTGTTATAAAAGTGAAAATTGATTAAAAAGAATTAAATATAATAAAGAAGGAATTGATTTTTATGAAAAAACAATGGAAGTGTTCCTTGACGTTGGCCTGTTGCGGAAAGAGTGTACTGGACGAAAATCAACATTTTGGAGATCACATAGTGGAATTTATTATAATCTTGCAAATCAGGAAATGGTTGGCGTAAGTTTTTAATAGCGCGTTTGGTGTCTGCGGGCATTAATTACGTCCTGGCATCGCCGCCTCATGCTGCTGATGAACCTGGGGACCTTGTGATGAGAAATCTGGGCCCATTCCTCTATGATTGCATGTCTTAGCTCCTGAACTGTTGTTTGTTGGACGTGGCGTGAAGAAATGGCTTTCTGCAGCATATTTCAAGCATGCTCAATTGGATTTTAATCCCGGGACCTCGCTGGCCAATCCATACTGACTTTAGTTGCCGGTGTCGCGTGATTATCACACGCGTGGTTATATTACCAAGCGAATGATTATTACGCGGCGGCGAAAAATCACACGGTTAGGGGAAGTGCCGTTAGAATTACACGTTCTTACATTTACTCCAAAATAGTTAAATCATACACCATTTTATTTCAAAATGAATTATGCATCTAATGGTATAATTTTTTGTGGGAATTAATAAATTTTTAAACACACGGGAGTGTTTTAAAAGCATGTATTGCAGCGATTTTAAATAATTATGACAACCTTGTTATGAATAATTATAATTATGTTCCAATAAATATTTTTTTAAAAGTTTTAGTTCTACTTTTTTAATTTGTTATATTAATTGTGTTTTCACTAAGTGTTCAAGACAGTTTTGATTTTAAATATTGATAATATCTATGCGTGTTTTTTTATATTTTGCCAGGGATGTAAATAGACAATCATTGATGTGTCATTTTATTCTTAATTAGAATAACATTATCTAAAAAAATCGAAGTGTTTGAGCGTAAGTTATTACATCAAATAATGGTTATAATCAGCTAGAGCGAAATATATAATTCGAATTAGAAATTAGAATAGTGCACGTGCTCGATTATATCACGCCGAAGTAACAACGGTCATGCGTACGAAATTATATTTAATTTAATCAAACATATTTGAATTATGTATAGTATAATACTATTTTCTCCGAAATAAATTTTGTGTCTACATGTGTCTTCAGCTTAAAGTTTATGCAAGCTTTTTTAATGTTTGACGTTAAAGAAACTTGATTTCTGAAGAAATGTATAAACCGCCTGTGACAGTATAAAGCCGTGATAATCGCAGCATCGTTTTATATTTAACCAACATACTAGAATTAATAATATTGTTTTCCAAAATGAATTGTGTCAAAGCTTTTTTTTTTATCATATATGTTTGTTATCTAACACACACATGAGCATCTTGAAAAAAGTAATTACAGGGAATTGAAAAAAAAAACAACAACGAAAAAACACACACAAAAGAAAAAACAACAAGCGTCTATTCATAATTTTGTTTTATTTTTTCTTACATCAATCATACTTGTTCATTTAGAAAAATATTATTTCATGATAAAGGAAAAATTTTAAACTAGATCGAAATGATCAGTGTCATATCCGGTTGGTTATATGCATAATACTTATTGATGCATGGAGGTGTCAATTCTCTTAAATTCGCTAGGCGAGAAAGTTAACATTATCCACTAAAACATGACACATACCGTTTGAAGTGTTCGCAATTCCTTATATCAATTTATTGACAAATACTGGTTTCCTAGCAGTTTCCGCCCCTAGCAGTTTTCCGGCCGTTTATCATTTTCGTCCAGTACAATCTTTTTTTACCAGTAAGGCATCCACATTACTTCATGAATAAGAGAGACATTTGTTTTCTATGCTAAACAGCATTAAAAATATTATTACGGTTTAAATGTTTTGAAG